AATACTACCAACACCCTCTATTTTATCATCGATAATCACTTGTTTTCACATTTTTCGAGTTTTTGCTATGATAAAGAAAAATGTATGTAGGCGTTATGATGAAATGCATATCGCTAACTGACTCAGCGTATTCAAAGTTTGAAAACATGTTTTGTTTCAATCACTCCTATCTTATAAACGTTGACGCTCATGGGTGAATCAGTTTCTACTGTACATGTTCATTTCTTACGTCTTTATAAATGTAACTGCTTTATAAGCTCAAATAATGAATCGAAGCTGCAAAAGCTGGTGTTTTTCTGAGAGTGTTTTCAATTTTGCAGATTTTTAAAAGCATGCTAATCGCAGAATGCCTAAAGCATCATTTTCTAACCTCAGTGTGGGTCACTTTGTTTGAATGATTGTATGAAGAGTTATTTTGAGAAAATCAAAAAGCTTTATTCGGTGCTACGTGTATGTTTTGTACTCAGTAAACGACACAGGTTCTAGGCACCTGGATCGTCTCGACAAAGGAAACCGGGTAATGATGGAGGTTCAGCACAGTGTTGCGAACCTTATGAAGGAGTTCACGGGCTTGAGGAGACGTGCGTGGAAGGCAGGTGAAGCGGACCTTCTTGTCCTCTACGCGGTCCATCTCTTCATTACGGCGGCAAACACGCACAGGCTCAAGCGAGAAGCACACACGTTCAGAGAATTCCATCACATGGTTCCTCTTGAGAATGTCTGCAAATCCCACGTATTCCTTTCTTTATCATATTTCCTCCTTATACATTTTATTGTACCTTCCTCCTCCCATTTGTCCTTGCGGGTGCGTTCATCGTTGAAGAAATAGTCCAGTTCATCCGCATCGCGCTCGCTTCTCTCTTCCATCTTATAATGCTTCTTTTCGGTGAGGAGTTCGTTCTCCATCTCACACTAAAAAGAGGATAACTGTAATTATCTTGTCTGATTGGCATCAAATTAAAAAATTGGTCACCTCTTCATTTAGGAGGTACGATTTGTGGAACTCCATTAAATCATGGGTGTGCTCCATCCTAGGCGTAAGGAACTCGTTGTCTTTCTGGAAAAAATCTACTTATGCTTTCCACTTTGGTCATATTAGGTCCATTCACCTCTTCGTCGAAGTGACCGCAGAGACCGCACTGTTTCTCAATCATGTGTTTGCCCATATACACCTTGACTGTGTATCCGTCGAAGCGAACTTCAATGTCCTCGAGTTTCACACGGACCATGTTCTCTTCCATCATTTCGATGCTGAAATCAATCAGTACTTTCGCGCACATTACAAGAAAATAGTTTTTCAACATACTTGTATCTTTCCAGTTCCTCTTTGTTAATTCTCTTGTCATTGACAGTAACCATCAGTTTTTCGTCACGCATCTCGATTCTGATAACATCCTCATGTTCGTTGATGACTTTAAGCTCCTGCACGATTGATTATTCAATTATTTGTGAATTAACATTGTGCAATTACTTGCCTTCTCGTCAGTGTCCTTCCTCATCTTCTTGACAAGGACAGCGAAGCGTGGCTCTTCAGAACAGTCTTTGGCAATGACAGAGTAGCAGTTGGTGAGTGGAGCATGGAAGATTACGTCGTCGAATGTCTTCACCTTTGTGCTTTTCACTTCACACATGCGCTCCTTTACCATCTCATCGCGGATGTCACGAAGGGTCCTCTTAGCGATTGAAGGCAGGTAAAGTTGAGGGACAACAAAATCGCGCAGCTCCACGAGCTCATAGGGTGTCTTCAGAACGAAGCTGATCAGGTTTCGGCTGACGGGATCGACGTTCAGTTTCAAGAAGACACGATTGCGCTCATTGTTGACTCTAGTAACCTTGCAGTTCCAGAAGGTGTATCCTCTAACGAAGTTGTAAACCCTTTCGAAAAGCTGTTCATAGAATGGCGTAAGTTTGTACTCAACAACGGTCTTCAGCTGA